CGTATACGGACAGGGGATAACCAGCGTTCGGTTTCCAGCCATGATAGTGTTCACTAGCGCCTCTTCATCCTTGTGGATGATTAAATATTTCCCACTCTACAAACTATTTTCCACAGATGAAACGTCGCAGGCCTCTCGCTGCTCTATCGCTATTTCTAGGGTGAATGTTCAGATGAACGACACTCCTTAATTCCATCAGTTCTAACCTTCACGGCTAAGACCCGCCATGCCTTGTATATTGTACTGCACCATTCACAGCTTCTTCGCCCGAACTGCTGCTATGCGGAAGTAACTTCCAAGACGATGCTTTTCCGATCACTACAATATTAACTTGCTCAAATCTAGGGCTAACTGTTATTTTTCCATCATATCCACATAAATTGTGCATCTTAGCCTGAAACCCTGTACCTTGAGTGGCTCTTGATATTTATACAGGGTGAACATTATTGTAAAAATATCAATATGCATATAAATCACTCAGTTATGTGCCATGCGTGATACACGCTTAGACAATCATGTATTATTCCCGCAGTAGGTTGCCATTTCTTTCTGCGGCAGACCAGTTGCCATCCAAGGCTATAGAACCTGCTATTTACCTACTGTTGGGTGGGCGAAGAAGAGGATTCATACCTTTCCCAAAGGTATTATCACATAAGTAAATGTAATAGACTCGACTGGAATTCGAACTTGGCTCTCCGATTCCTGAATCCGAGCCGCTACCCACTACTCCACCGTGCCTCCCTATAAATACAGGTTCCAAAATAAAGGGTGTATCAACTCACCTCATATCAATGTAACATTGCAGCAATATTCTTTAACAGGAAGCTGTCCTCTTATATGTCAAAAATGTACCTTTAGCAAAGTTAATTATTGCAATACATTATCTCCAGTTAATTGCACCTACTAGGTATAATACAGCAAAATTTCTAGGTGGGCTAATCGAACGAGTCAGACACCTTCCCATCATGTCACAGATTTTTCCGGTCAAGAAAATTATCAAAGAACATGCAAAGCCTTTTGAATAGAACGGACATCATATGGGTGGTCATTATCCTACTGGAATGTAACTAGGACTTGTTTTACGATAAGGTACAAGGCTCAAGAGCCACTCAAGGTAGAGGGTTACTGAGTAAGAGATAAAAAGGCGCATATCATGGTTGTATATGGGGAAGATAAACGTTGATTCTAGATTTCAACAGGTGAAGATTGTATTGATGACGGAAGCATCACCTTGGGAGTCTGTTCCAAAAAGGAGCGCTTCGTGGATCGAAGTTGCTCCAGTGGAACCTACATATCACCAATGAAATACGAAGGGAATGAGGGTGGTTCGCTACAACAGGCGTGACTCGGCGGGTCCTAGGTGTAAAGGTTAGAACTTATGGAACTAAGGAATTTAGATCATCTGAACACTTTCCATGGAAATAGAGAGAACTTTAGAAATTTTCTGAGAAAGAGATTGTAAGGGGAAAAACAATTTCTCACCCAGAAGGATACGGAGAAGTTTTGACCTCCATCAAGACTGGAAGGTGAACCTGATATCTCCTGCCCATATATGACAGTAAACATCCATCTTCGACCTGATGTGGATCGTGTAAAGGTTCTTACTGGAACGACGCAGGAAACCAACTAATTCCTTAGCATCTTTTGATATGGTTGTATGTACGAATTTCACTTCGAGGTCTGGGTTAAAGGCGTTAAAGACATGGAGGCTTCCTGAGGGAAAAACCGTTTATGGCGATAATCGCGAAATTCAGGTCCGCTTCCAGTTGTAGGGATTGTAGAATTTCTCTCGGTTATATGAGGTTTGTAATTTAGCGCAACCTACTCTTTGATTACAATGTTTTGGCCTCTATATCTTGAGTGAATATACTCTGGAAGATGTCTCCCCACTGGATTACATTCCACACAAATGCAAACGATCACTTTCATGAAAACAGACTCTTTATCCATCGCTGAACATCATAGGAGGCCATTCGATCTCTCTCAACGCCACTGGAGGCGTGTACGACAGTATTATTGCACTAATATAGATCTGTTTGTCAGTTGGTGTGTTCGTAGATTTGCTACAAGTAAACGATTTTCAACGATGTTAACACTGCTCGGACTCCATGTTGTGCAGTGGGCGGCGTGTGGACTGTCCCTGTTATCCATACTGTGAGTCGATCTTGATGATCGTTTGTACAAACTGGTCGTTCAGAACCTGATCTACTGCTATAAAAATGTCCGTTTGACTACTACTGCCAACATCGGAGCATCGCCGATCAATCACGTCCAATGCGCACAAACAATTCTCCAAAACGACCATCCAGCATCTCGAAACACCCCTCAAATGGCTCAGGTTAAACAAAAGATAGCACTTGTGTGTTCCCGTGGCCTGACTCTTGCTTGCCCTGGACTTTTTCATGACACTAAACCTTGTCTTATGTGTGACAGTCTCAAGCTCAAATACAGATGGTGTGCTGTTATTGATGTTACTACGTCACAAAATCGCCTAAGGCTGAAAATATTATCAGATTATCTTGTACCCATTAGCATGCATCTAATGTACCCAGATTAAAATCGACGCCGTTCTTTCTGGTGTTACAATTATATTGTAGGTTTTGTTTTACGGTATATCAACCTCAATGGCTTAATGCCAACAAGATTTTTTTTACAATAGATTTGAATGAATGGAATATATATTCTTTTTAAGAAATCAGTTTGTAAATCAGCTTTCGTTGACGTATTTTTGTAAAGAGCGTTTTTGTTGAGAGCCAAATGTATTGCCGGTAAGATTTTTTTAAAAATTTATTGCTGGTAATATTTTTTTCCAGAAATGTATTTCTGCTGATATTTTTTTAAAAAATGTATTGATGGTAATATTTTTTTTCCAAAATTGTAATATTTTTTAAAAATATATTACTAGCAATATTTTTTCCTAAAAGGTATTGCTGGTATTTTTACTATAAAAAAAGCTGTTTTTTACACTCTCATTGTGTTTTGACCCCAGTTTTGGGGTTAACTATTTACCCATAGCTGGGAACCTAGCATGTGCTGCCATCTCGGGTCAAAGCGGACCTGAGACCATCAGCAATTAAGAAGTGGTTCCACGCTCCTTATAACCTCCTGATCATAGTCCTTGCTGTCGGGTCTAGTTCATCGTTATAACCAGGACACCTCATTGGGAGAAGGTCTTATTCTGAATCCCCAGCCAACGGGGCGGGTTACAATTATATTTTCCGTTAGTGTATAATTGAAGAATATGAGAAGGAAGGATAAGTAGAAGGAATGGTAAACAAAGCCCAGAAGAAAATGAAAATATAGCAAAAAATACAATGCAAAGAAAGTTCATTGAATCAGAAGAAAAACTTCTCAGGTATTCCTCGTCGGAGTCATTTACAGTTTTATTTATTTACACATTCTGCTCCTGCTGATGTATTTTTATCTTCAGATCCAAAGAGATAAAAAAAAGCCATTTCCAAGAATGGATTTATATCTTATTCTTTTTAAAGCTTTTATTTTTTAATATTTAATGAAGAAAAGGCGGTATTTTCTTTTATAAATGTCATATTTCTAGAATATAAAATATTCCAGAATTTCAATTTTGCAAGCAGAATAAAACATTTACTGTTTCCGTAGCAGCATTATTAGAATTTTATTATAAGTTTTACAGAGGCAAAAAAGGGGGTCTACAGTCGTAGCAAAAGTTAGTAGCCAATTTCCTCTCCACTTTATTCCGATGGAAGACTAAGATTAGTAAGACGGGCAACTGGAGTAGCTCTCTGCTTAAGAAGTCTTATCTCATAGAACGATCTCAAAGTGAAATGAGTTCGATCCTCACTGGGTGTCCCTCTACTGTTAGGTTATATTGGTTGGTTTCACAATATTAGGGACATTATAAGGTTATTTTAATGTCGAATAATTTATAGGGCACCCAGTAAGAATCGATATCAAGAGTAGGGATCAACCAGATTAGAATTGTTAAAAATTAGCCGACGATATGATGAAGAAAGTCATCTGAAGAAATGCACTGGCTAACAAGCAGATCCCCCAGTGTGATAATATCGGTCCTCAATGATGTTGCTTTTCAGACTGATTTAAGTTTAGGAGGCTACCTGAAGTGTTTGTTAACGCACATATTTAGCATATAATGTTGCAGGTGTAGTGAGTTTAATTTGAACTGGGTTTCTTCATAAATGGTTTTGAACGATACGATTTGGTAAATAGACATAAAGCCGAGGGGTCTACAGTGGAAAGGAGCCTAGTGAACTTGTCTTACGATAAACTTTATAAGTGTAAAGATTTCATTTTTATTGCGTGACTCACGACTGTAACATTGAGCCAGTAATAAGCTAAATAAAATATTAACAGATATAATCCTACATACTGTTCTGAGTTTTGTCTTCACTGGGTGCTCCAAATTTAGGGTTTTGCGTAGGTCAGTCAGTTATGCGCCATCCGTGATATACGCTTAGGCGATCATGTATCTTTCGATACATGACTGACGAGGCAGATTTTTTTCCCGCAGTAGTTTGCAATTTCTTTCTGCAGTAGACAAGTTGCTATCCACAGCTGTAGAACCCAGTCTGTCCTGCTATTTACCCATAGCTGGGTGGAAGTAAACGATTATTACCTTTCCTTAGGGTATAAGCACGTAAGTGAATGTAATGGATTCAAGTGAAATTCGAACTCGGCTCTTCGATTCTCCCTTTTGTGTAAGGGCGAAGTTTAAATAGATAAATAAATTCATTTGGTGAAAAACTTAAATGGGTTTGTTTTTTACGGGTTATCACACTTTTGCAGGTTATTCAAAGACAAAAATATTGTTGAATTGTAAGAATTCTTTTCAGCGATAATAATGAAACAAGTCATACTAATTAACTAGTAGCTGCAAGGGAGAAGAGATGGTTTCATGCCTTTTCCAAGAGTATCTGTGCGTGAGTATAACGACAGGAATTCGAACCTGACACTCCGATTCCCAAATCAGAGTCGTTATCCATTACACCAACTACATATCTAGGTTTACAACTCCTGGTATTCAAAAGCAGTCACCTATCCAGGTACTGACTAGGCTCGACGTTACTTAACTTCGGTGAACATATGAGCACTGCTGTTTCAACTTGAAAATGGCCGTAAGCCGAAAGAATTAAACCTTAAGCGCATTATCTACTGATTTAACCTTTACTGTGATGTGATCCTAGTGATGTGATTCTAATCCTTATGATTTGGAAACAGAATCTGAAAAGATGATACGCAGATGACTGTGCTGATGTCAGACAGAAATAAAACTGCAGGAACTCTCAGACAGGGTAGTGTTGTAGCTTATCTACAGACGATAATGAGTATGTCTTCATTCACATAAATACAGTAGTAGATACTGTATGTTGGTCTGCAGTCGGAGATTCGTCTCCAGCTGTGCTGGTTAAACTCTCTGCCTCCGGACAGAGAGGATCCCCAGACGACGCTATGTCGGAGGACAGTCTCGTCTCGGGAAACAGCTACTCGACCCCGTTTTATACGTGGTCTAAGGGGAATTTTTGGTCGAGTCAACGGGCTCGGATACCCAACATTAAATTCGGCCTTGTGCAACATCTGACCGCGTGGGGCGGTTGGTAGATATTCTGCAGTCGGAGATTCGTCTCCAGCTGTGCTGGTCAAACCCTCTGCCTCCGGGCAAGAGGATCTCCAGACGAAGCTATGTCGAAGGGCAGAATCTCATCTTGGGAGAGAGCTTCCCGACCCCGTTTTATACGGGGTCTACGGCGAATTTTGGCCGAGCTTACGAGCTCGGATACCGCACATTAAATTCGGTTCTCGTGCCACATCTGACGGTGTGGGCGGTTGGTAGGTATCTTGCAGTTGGAGATCCATTGTGGAATTCACTTGACTCACCTCTAGCAGTTGAAGTTGACTACCGAAGTTGACTACTTCTACGCGCCTCTGGCGAATCTTATATGTGTTGTTCTTGTCCTAAGTATTATCGTTCCTTACCAACCTTCGTTTCATTATTCTATTCAGTAATCTTCCCTAGGTTACAACAGGTAATAAAGGAAAGCGGAATGAATGGACTAATCATTAATTGTAAGAAGACCGAATGTGTGGTCCTTATCAAAAGGGAGGGCTTGAGATGCGACGTACGAATTGAGAATTATTATAGTAAAGCAACTGCAGAAAACATATAACAGATGATGGAAAATGTGGCACTGAAATCTGAAGCCGCATTGAAATAGCTAAAAACACATTGTAAAAGGTAAAAGAAACAAGAAAGCTGCGTTAGAAGTATAAAGTGCCAGGTAATCTTTCGGCAATCTTGGGCCTTCGCGTCAAAAAGACGTTTTTTCCCTTGACACCGCTACTATTTTAATTCTCTTCCCTCATCAGCAATTTCTATCGTTTTAATCAATTTAAATTCAAAATCCAATCGTTGATATGCTTGCTCGCTTGCTTGATTAATTTTCTACAGGTTATCAACACTTAAAAGGTTATTTAAAACCAGAAAATACTTTTAGATTGTAAGAATTTTTTTTGTAGATAATGGTTTAGTGATACAAGTTTTACTAATTAACCTGTAGCTAGGGGGAAGAGGTGGATTCATACACAATCAGAGTTTTATAAACAAACAAGGAATTATAATGTGGATATGAATTGGGAGGACAATTTTATATTACAATCAATATATAAACTGATCCCTCACTTTGCGGCAACTGTAGTTTCTATACATTTATATTCAAGAGAATGTAATTAAATATAAAAGACGTGTCTGTGTAGCTAATCAGTAATTCATTTTTTACGGCTTATCAACCTCTTAGAGATTATTTAAAGCTATGAAATATTTTAGATTGTAAGAATATTTTTGGAAATAATAATGATTTAGTGATACAAGTCTTGCTAATTAACCCATAGCTGGAGGGAGAACAGGTAAACTTATACCTTTCCCAAAGGTATTTGCGCTTAAGTGAATATAAGAATCCCAAACGGAATTGGAACTCGACTCTTTGATTAACAACCCCGAGCAATTATCCATTGCATCACCCACACATCCAGGCTTACAGCACTTTGTATTCCCAAACGGTCAGCCATCTAGGCACTGACCAGGCTTGACGTTGCTTAACTGTCTCAGTCATTATGAAGAAGTAGATGTTGTCCGTGTGGTAGATAAGATTTTTTTGGCTAAGTATTGCATTTTGGGGAACGCTAATTCAAATTACATTACACGTATTGAACAAATGGCGTCATATGCAAAACAGTTTCCACACAGTATTGGAAATTGCTTTCGATAATGACTGAGACTGTCGAAAGTATTTGACCACAGACCAGTACAAAGCATGAATGTTGGACAGCATGTAAATAAAGTAGCTATGATATTTGAAAACTTGAATAGAATTAAAGCAAGTGAGATATAAATGAAAATCATGTATTAACAAAGTGAAAGTTATATTTCTTAACAGATGGCTCACCATTGTCAATGCAAATCTGCCATCTTTCACGAAGAACTTCGGAAAGTATTTCGAAATTTTTTTTTTTTTAATCAATTTACGCCTAACAGGATTATAATGGCAGAAAGAGATCAACCAGCAACCAATGTTTCAACGTGATATGGCCATAAGCCTCACTGAGCTACCATAAGATTACACTACTGACATGCTTATAAAACCATACCCACTTTTAATCTATAACATTCAATTACACCATTGTTTCTAACCACCAGCCACCTCCTAGACATCCATTCTTTTTTGTTCAAAGAAAGGAGCTATTATCAGATCTCGATATAATGCTACAATGAGGAGAGATTATGACGATCGAAACGCATTCAAATCCCAATGGATAAGACTATCAGTTTGAATAATTAATATTTCCACAATAGATGAATTCATTATTTAGTTTTCTGTATCTTAATATATTGTGTTTATGCATAATACATAACATTTATGTCTATATATTTCATAATATTGACTAATATCGATTGCGCGTACCTGGCTGGCTCTACGATGCTGGAGGTAATCACGCCTCGTACACACCTTGAGGCCACCCACTCTTTTATGAACAGGTTTATTTCGATATAACGATATTAATGTGCGGAAGAAATCCACCTAACTTCCGAAAGGCTGCGGACGTGCGCCTGCTGATGCCATTGGCGCCATACTGCAAAGAAAAAATCGGGGCAGGCATATTCCGTTGGTTATAACGGAAAACGGTTGATGGAATAAGCCGGATATGCTGCCCACGGTTGATGGAATAGCCCGGATGTACTGCCTACAGTTTAACATACCTACCTTTAAAACGTATATCGAGTCAATATCAGTGAACAAGTACCGACGTGAAAAAGAAGCCGATCTTGGGTGTGTGCATTTGTGATCGTTCTTTTATTTTAAATTTTACTACAATTAAAGGAAAAAAAAATGTGAAGAAAAAATTTTCAAGGCGCCATTAAAACCGTAAGAACTTGTAAAAGAATATTAAAACCGATTTAGAAGGGATTGGGTATAAATCCAGTTTACCCCTGACCCCCGGGCAATGGGAGAAATTCTGCCTTGGAGGGCAGATCTCTCATCGTATGAAACATGCAAAAATGACGATATATATATATATATATATATATATATATATATAGATAGATAGATAGAGAGAGAGAGAGAGAGAGATGAAGATTAATCCTTTTATTCAATTTTTCTTGTGCTCACATAAGTAATTTAGTGTGTAAAAACAATTTAAATGTTATATATATATGTGTGTGTGTGTGTGTGTGTGTGTGGGTGTGTGCGTGCGTGCGTGTGTGTGTGTGTTGTGTATGTGTGTGTGTGTGTGTCGCAACAGCTTACCCATAATCAGGGTTTATTTCCTATTTTTATGTTTTTAATGAATGTCTAGATTTTTCCATATGTATCTGGAGGGATAACAATGTTTTTTTATTATTTTTTTCAAATATGGTCAGTACATTGTGGCCGTGTTCATTAATGATGTTATTGTGAAATGACGATATTACTGTTTACCTCCCTGACAAAGTGCAACCTTGTCGTGGTGTTAGGGCTTTTGTGTCACAATGACCCTGAAAGTTATGCTATCAGGAGCCCACTGGTATCGTGGAAGCGTCACCCAAGCTACGGACGTTTAAGGAAAGAACAGATAAACAGCACTTAATTTATAAGATATATTCTTTCTTTCTTTCTTTCTTTTTTTTTTTTTTTGCTAATATCCTCATCTTTTTTATTTTATTTTTTGTTACTTTCTATCCCAACAATTCTTTCTTCAAACTTTATTAATAAACAAGGGAATGAAAGTTGCATTTCATATTATGGGATGTAGTTTTTGTAAAAAATAAAATATGAAACAGATGTTCTCAAAGTATTTTCAAAGGAAAATTGAAAGAAAAACTACACTTATATTCAGACAGCGAAAGAGACCGCTGAAATTTCTTGAAGACATTATTAGGAAGGAAGGCTAGGAGAATTTGACACTCACAGGTAATATCGAGGGTAGGGGAAGGCTGCGGGCCAACGACCTGATCGCCCACATCCTGAAGGTACAAGGCACAAAGACGAAGAAGACCATTATCAAATCAGATATCTTACCAAAATATACACCTGCATCCGGGTATTTCCAAATATCTCCTTTCCTAAGAGAATTACTCTTTTCCCAAGCCAACATATATGACTATAAAAAATTCAGAAAATTCAAAGAAAACTGTTAAATTCAAAAAGTTCTACTAATATAAAATATATAAATTAATTTCTCAAGCTAAAATAAATTAAATAATAATTACATTATAAAAATAGCAACATACATCCAACAACAATAACAACATTTACTCGCTTTCGTTTATTAGACATTAAATTGTGTCACTTAGCATCCTCCATAGTTTACTTTGACTTTCAGTTAGCCTGAAGTATATATATATATATATATATATATATATATATATATATATATATATATATATATTCAGGTAAAATGAGAACAAACAGAGTATAATTCAACTGTACATAACATTTGATTTAAAAGAGGGCTCAATACAGAGAAGAGTTAAACTATCGCAGATAGTTTAACATCGCCTGAGGAGACACATTTGTATTATTGAAACATAATTGCCATTATGTAGCAATTTTTAACGTTTTTTAGTATTCTAAAATAAATGATAT